CATAATGCGTTCCCAATACAAGATGCATGGAGTGTGTCGGTTTCTTGGAGATGCAGGAAATATCAAGAGGCTTAAAACTAGCTCCAGTCGAAACTGCAGACTGGAAGAATGCTAACTGAGTTGACTTGGAGTGGCATGGGAAGTATTGTCCATCGATCCTGTACATCAGATCAAACCTCTCATTGAAAGGCTTAGATAGATCCAGTGTTATTATATTGAGAGAAGCTGCTCTAGTGAATAAAGGCAGTAACTCCTGGTATGCTGGCTGACCACCGGAATCAATAACGTACAGCCAATGATCGCTTTTACGAATCCCTTTCGGTTCAGTTGCTAAAATTTCCTGGACAACTGCTTCAGTATGATACTCTTTGTCTTCTTTGATAACTTTTGTCTGTAATGAAACTACTTGATCAGGCTTCTTCTGTGTAGTAGGAGATGGATCTGGTCGCATTTCTGTTGCTGGTTCAGTATTATCTAGCAAAGTGAAGACTACAGGCAGGGGAGGCTCTTTTGTTTTCTTTTCCTGTGAAGCTGATTCCAAATCTGCTGCTAATCGGTCGAGTAGTTTGTCTCGAGTCACTCGATTCCAAATCGTTTTATCGCAAACGGCAACTCTGGTAGCCCTAACAGCAGGGCAGGCTATGGGTGTACTGGTGTCATTAGTGGGTGGGTCTTCATTTAGTAGGAGGAGCTGTGAACAGGTTTTACCAGCTCCAGGAGCACCAAGCATATTAACACGAGTAACAGTTAGATCAACACCCCCTTCCTCCATCCACTTCCCTACAGCATCTATATAATATAATGAAATAGTATAATTAATAAACATACATGTAGCAGGAACTATGTTGTGTATACACAAAGAGGTCTATTACATTATTAGATTAGTGTGTGTTACATTAGTGAATGTATTACCGTATAGCTAGAAATTTCTGTGGCCCAAAATTTCTGCGAATTGCCAAAAAATGGCTTTTGCGGATTTTATTTTTGCGAATTCACTTGATCACACTACTGATCAATGGCTGCTCTTCACTACTTACCAGAACTATAGTTGATGATGACACAAAGCATGATCAGGATATTAGGCAAGATAGGATTACTCTTTGACTCTGCTTAAAATTGTACTGGAACAGTGCCAAGAACACGCCATGTGCTTCACTATAATTACACTAAAAAGGCATGGCAAGCCACACCTTTTATTTACTTATTTTTGAGGATTTAATTTTTGCGAATTTTTTCAAATTTGCAAAATTCGCAAAAATTTTGGGCCACAGAAATTTCTAGCTATACGGTACCCAACCATTACTGATTGTGTGTATGCACTTCTGATTGCTGTACTACAATGGATTCTGTTATGATTGTGAAAAGGTTTTATCAAAACAATAAATTTAATGGTTAGGAATCTCATTAGCTGCTAATACATGAAATAGAAATATTTATTGGCTGGCAAGCATGAGCGTACCTCACATAAGTGAAACATGTGTTCGGTACATGTACAGTGTACATGTATGTGTTAATACCTTGCATTCTTCTCTTCTGATATTCATTAATGTCCAGTACTGACTGCACTACCAAATCACCAGTACTAGATGCTAATAATAATAATAATAGTAACAATAATATTGTCATATAGTCAATTAAAAGTGGGTGTGGCTAAAAGTTGCCCCACCCACAAAGACACACTTTCAAAATTAAAATCTTGGTACATGTAGAATTCACACTTTTAATGCTATACAGTAAATTAATTTTAGTAGGCATGTACAATCGTACATAAAGCCCCACCGCTCACTCATTTTTTATTATAATATTATTATTAGATATTCAATACACATTGTATCTACTAATGCATACATTACATGTACTCACTGATTTCAATAAATCTTGTATCACTGAATGTTGAACTACCTCTCATTCCTCCAAACTCAATTATCCAGTGAGTGTTCTGTGTCTCATTCCAAACTGAGAGAGAATGACGCTGTCTATTAGTGACACTGTCTGGTATATTAACCTAGATTATTAAAATAATGATACTGTATAAGCGGGAAATTTTGGAGGGAATTAAATTTGGCATTTTGATAGCAATTTGCTAAAATAAAAATCCACCATTTTCAGCAATTATACGCATGCTCAACATGTGGCCACAAATTTGTCAAATTAAAATCTGCCAGTCACTTCCAAGTAGCAATTTACCAAATTTCACTCCCTCCAAAATTTCCAGCTGTACAGCAAAATAATATATCTGGTTAATAAAAATGATTTCTCTCTCCTCCTCCTTTCTTTACAATTATTAATTCTTATAATAATCAGTAATAATAACATGATATAAACCATAATTAAAGATGGCGGAATATGGAAAAGTGGTAAAGCCAAAACCGTACCAACCGTACCGCTTGCTACGGCCTTGCTATCATATGCACATGTCTATACTGACCAGTTGTACTGAATAAAATTGATTATTATTGAGGAGTGCATGACATTGATGTACAGACAGACAGATCAGAGTGGTCTCGTACTAGTAGGACTTACTCATGCTCACCACAATTATATTATAATACTTACCAGTTCTTTCCATTCCATTTTGTTTATATTTAACAACCAACAGTCATTAGTATACCTTCTGCCATATCCCCCCACCACTAGTAGGTGTGGTCCAGAGCTACAGTTGATCAATACACTGGAATGAACACGTCTCACCTCAGGCCATTGTACTGATCCTCCAGGATTAGAAAACTTTGTACATTTCTAAAATAATAAAATATTTAATTATCATATAACACACACAATAATAATTAATACACACATTATTATTCATGTAATTATAATACACTCACCACTGATGTAACAGTAAATTCAAATATATACACATCATTACTATATCTTCTATCACCAAAATATCCACCAAACATAATAGCAGTGGTATTAGTTATTGACATTAAAGTGAAGTGAGAAATATGTACTGGTCTGTCTCCAGTGACAGTTGGTGAAGTCCATTCACCTAAAAATAATAAAAATTATATGAACACAGTAACACACACACACACACACACTGCCCTTAAGTGGTTGCTGGGCTCAAATAGACATTCTCCATTGGTATGGATAAAGATATATCTACTGCCCTCCATTAAATGACACATTATGATAAAATGGTGGAACACAACTAGTCACGCACACTATGGCTACCTTTGCTCAAGTTAATCAAGTCTACCTTATATTGTATAGACTGTTTATGGCAGACACCAGACCTTTGACCTTGGCTTCGGGTGTGGGTCTGCTATCTGCCATTAATAACAGTCTAAATACACCAATTGAATTACTGAATATAAACTGACCAGATTTTAATCTGTACATATGTACTTCATTGCAACGTTGATAGTTAACATCTTGACTGTACTGGGCACCAGGTTGTGGTGGGGTATTATTAAAAGATAATCCACACCCTCCAATTACAGCAAGATAGTCCTCGCCATTCACTTTTATTGCTATCATGCCGGAGCCATCTTTCATCCAAGGACCACAATAGGATGTAGTAGGAGAGAGCTCCTTCCAATTGAAGGTATCAACATTAAAACTGTATAAAATATTATATAATATTTCTCAGTAACTATATTATGTTTACCTGTATAAACTATTATGATAACATTTATCATGACCACAATAGCCTCCAAAAAAGAATATTTCATTTCTAATGACAGCAGCAGCATAGAAACTGACACCAAGTGGAGGGTCACCAGTGGTAGGCTTTTGTACCCACTCACCAGTCGATACATGACAGACCTCCACTACAGAACACATTAATTTCTTCTTTTCATTATTGTGTACTCTAGGGAGACCAGGTTGGACCCCACCCCACATGTACAGGCAGTCTCCTACCTGTACTGTAGAGTGATGGTACCTCTCCACTGGTTGATAGACTATAGAAAACAAAAGGACACAGTAATATAGAGAATAGTTATAATAAGTAGAGGATACATTGGAGTTAAGTAAAGGAGAGAAAGAGAACAGGTCACTTACTTGATGACATCTCCTCCAGTAAACAGCCTCTACAGTATACACTATTAATAATAACTAGCTCAATAATAACATACATACCTCACCTGACATACCCACACACTGCACTCACTTAATGTAGCAATGTACATTGTAGCTTGTGTTATCATAAATAATTTCAACATCAGAAAAATAAAAAATAACAAGCAAATAAACAGTAACAATAAAAGAATGATGAACAAAAGAGAGAGACAGCATTAACGGCAGCATAATTATATAAACAATTATCACAAGTATAGTAGCTAATGGATTAGCTATGCTAATTTTAGCAATGCTATTATCACAAAAAATCAGCAACAATTCCATACAGTTCTAGGACATAGCATTAACTATTAACTATCAATATTATTATTCAAACACACTTGTGGGACAAAACAAACAAACCACCACAGAAAGTGGTGAACACATAATCAAATAGTCATATATAACACACAACAAAATAATCATCTGTCAAATTGTGAGTACATAGCAATCTGAGTCTGTGGTAAACCAACACTGAATCCTCTTTTAGCAGCCATCTTGGAACTACTGGAGCTATAGAGAGAGAGAGGGAGAAAGGACAGTATAAGGTTATTGTATAGTGAAGGGACAAAATATGGACCATTTTGTAATTTTATTACACATTGATGATATCAATATCACTAATAGTAAGGTACATGTACATGTGTACATCAGGGTGTCACAGGACTTTGGGTTTAGGTTGTAGTAGAGAATTTTAATAATACTGTTTCATGAACATGTCAACTTGTGATTAACGTGATGTGTGTGTGTGTGTGTGTGTGGGTAGTTACTATATAATTAATTCCGTACATATCTTATTTCCTAATAAGGACTACCATTAATAAGCTATTAATTAAAAACTACTCAATCATACATGTAAATCAATAGATTACACACAGATACACATTATTTGGTAGGAGCATAATGTATGAACTATGAATATGTATCAGAAAATGTAATACAAATTTGGGAGTCATTTCAGAGCCATTTTAAAAACTTAATTATTTAAAACAAATGCAAATTAGTAAATTTGAACAACAAAACACTTCACAAATGCTGACTAATTTACTATAATTATTATCATCTTATATTTATTAAATTCCCTTACCCCACTTTCTTCTTCATTTTATCTCTCACTACAAAAGGATTACCTTGAATAGCACCTTCACTATCAAGGGACACAACATTACTACAAACAAACAAAACATGTAAACAACAACAAAAATAAACAAAATAAAAATATCAACAAATATACTCACTCTCCAGTCCTTACAACAGATGTGCTCAGTAGTCTATCAAAGTTGGTTAGTTCGTACATTTTGTATTATCCATCAAAACTGTCTCTGTCAGTAGTGTCATTATTAATATGAGGTACTGCTGGAGGAGTGGGTTCTTCTTCAGGATCATCTTCAATATTAGCAATAACTAGAAAAATTAATATTTAATGATAAATATATTACATGTCATTAGCCCATATAGAAATTCCAAGCTTGTTACAATTAAGCTTGTTACAACCGGTTCACAACCTCACAAGATATTCATTATCATTTAAAAAGATTACATGTACACGTACATGCACATGCGTCATAAAATGTAAGAATAACTCTTTTAATTTTGACAAAATTTTGGAGCAACTTAAAAAATTCATAACAAAATCCAAACTTGATCAGAATCAGCTCAAACTTTCTACGCAAAATATGCATCAAAAATGTAATAAAAAAGAATTCTCTCCTTGAGATTTTTGGCAAAATTAAGAGACTTTGTCCAATTTTGGAGCAACTTATAAAAATTCGTAAAAGTTTAAACTTGATTGGATCTGATCAAACTTTCTACACAGTATAAGTACAATGTACATGTACATATGTACTGTATGTACATGTACATGTATGTATCAGGAAATGTATTACACTGAAGTCGAGTTCTCAATATGACGCATGCACGTCCGTCACGACCGGAAGTACTATAAAAACCAATGGGAGCATTTGTCAATGCGTCAGATTAGAAAACATTTATATTCTGACGCATTGACACATACTCCCATTGGTTCATATAGCACTTTCGGTCGTGACGCTAGCGCATGAAAATCAATGCGTCATATTGAGAACCCACCTTAAGTTAATGTACAAATGTGTGTGCGTGTGTGCGTGTCAAACCTTGTCCTTCATATTGTGGCTTGATGATACCAGTTCATCTTCCCACCATTTGGTAGGACTAAAAGTGAATATAAATACATCATACTCCAATTATTAAAAACAAACTATAATTTATTATTTTGGAAATTATGCTACACAAAATATTTCACTAGTTACATGTAAATGTACATGTAGGCCAGTACACACATGAATCATAATTATTGGTTGTTTTAGTAATAGAAATATAAAATCTACATGTAATTAATATTATAAAAGCTACTACAAATATAACCTGATCCATGGAACATACATGTACAATTGTACATGTACAGTTACTTTATGAAATTTAATACATGTATACACATATGTACATGTACTGCCCCACCCACCTCTTAAACAGTTTTGGTGATTGTAGTTCCCTAGCTGTCCTATGGTGTAGATAATAATCAGTTGATAGTTCCCATACATTGGCTTCTCCTTCTTTTGGTACAAAAACTCTAAGGAACACGTTAATATCCATCTGCTTGTCTGTGTCAAGTGGGTGTGGCCATAAATTAAAGCCATGCCTATTATGAGTCTTACCAGTGAATGCATTATCAGTATCATTATTATATTTCTATCATTATTGTACTCTTACTTTCTAAAACTTGTAATATATATATTATAATTTTATTTATTTATAAAAGATGCAAGCGTCATGCATTTTGATCTTGGTAGGCTAGCAGGTCTATAATTACATAATTTCATTTTATAAATGATAATAATATAATAGCTGCTTCTTTGCTTGACAGAGCACTCTTTCTTGTGACTACTTCTTGTCGTCCTATTGAATCATACAACATGAGAATAAGGTGGGTGAATTATATAAAATGCATGTCGCTACGTTTACGACTTACCTGTCTCGTTTTATCATCAACCATGGCTCATAGTCGTTCTGTAAGTGTATCTAAGAAAGCCTGACTCCTGAAGAAACTGTTAGAAAAGAGAAAAGTCGAGCAACGCTTGGAGCGTTGTTCATGATAACAAAAACAGTAGTGCCCAGACCCAACGGACCATGAACGGAACAACCACAATAAAAACGGAAATGGCGCTACCGTTTAATCGCCGTTCAACGTAAACGGAACGCGAAGTTTTTATTGTCTTCTACTGTACCTCAGAGTGCTTATGTATATGTCTCGTCCGTGATTCTTCATTGGAGCCACTTTACAATAAGTTTGTATCCTAAAAGAATAATAAATTAATAATGATCATGAATCAGTCTAGCATCTATAATAAGGACACCTTTATACATGTACATGTACAATGGCTATTGACGTCTGTCATAAATTTAGCCAATATTATCCATTATAGCACTAAACCACTATACCAAATAATGTACATGTACATGTACCAGCGTACCAATGTACAACAACAAGTACATGTACCAGCATACCAATGTACATGTACCAGTGTACCAGTGTACATGTACCAGCATACCTATGTACCAGTGTTGATCCCCATACTGTATAGCTTGACTATCCCCCAGGTCCTCATAGGCCTCCTCAAGCAGTCTCATGGTATCACAGTCAAAAGGAAGGTGTGGTTCATCCAGTAGTCCTAATAGATACATGATAACCGTAACCTATTAAATTAAGATAACTGAGAGAGGGAGAGAGAGAGAGAGAGAGAGAGAGAGAGAGAGAGAGAGAGAGA